TTTAACCTTGATAAATAACTCCCAAATACTCTGTCATAGGCTCGAATCTAACACGGTTCATTGATAAAACGACGTGATTGACGCTCCGAACACACGTTTAACTTTAAATATAAACTTTCTTAAATTCAGAAGGTTAAATTTAGGAGAATAATAGAGTTTGAAACTGCAAGCGAGAGTAGACATATTGACACAGCCAAAACCGTTTCTGGTAAAAACTCCTAGGGGGCCGGGGACCAGAGAACCGGCTTCGAGGTGATCACTCACACGTATTCGAATGGTTTCGCTCAGGAACTGTTGCTTCGTCTTTTGAGTGTCAAATGCAAAGTAGTTATCGTAATACGGTCTACTGGTGGAGTATTTTGTGGCCGTCTTCTGCACCGATTTCCCCACGGAAACTGCCACCAGCGGATTGATGTTTGTCCCAACCAGACGTCTGGCTTCAATCACACTCACGGCAACCTGGAAACAGATGGTAGGACGAGAAAACGAATGATCACATAGAAAGAGAGGAAAAATAGTCTGAAGGCAGAAACTGCTCTGCGAAAAATGGGGTTTGGATGGGGTAAAGTTGATTTTTGCTAAAGTTTAATGCACAGATGCAAAACTGGAAAAGTTTCCTGGATGATTGGCATTTCGGTACTGAATTCTGTCTCGTGCACTTCCTCTTTTTTTCTAAATAATGATGGATATAAAGTTTTGGTCACTGATCGATTGGCAAATTCCCAGTGAAACCCGACAAATCACTCTTTAGCCAACACATCTACGAATTACTTTCAGGGCTTTTCGGGGCAAGATGGGCAATTAATAGACAATCGATGCGTTATGGATGGAATCCGACATGCCTACCACTTCAATCATGTGGCCTGTCTCAGAAGTTTACTGTTCGACTATCATACGATACTTATCAATCCTTGTGATTCCCTGTACAGGATATCATCTATCAGCGGTCGTCCAATCGAGTCTCATTATGCGCAAGCAGGCAATTTATACCTATCGAGCATGGAGTTAGTTCACATTGCTTGGCAATCAATAATCTCACCTACCTATCACACATTCCAAAAGGTGCTTTCTTTAATGTCTGAATGAGGAGCGTTAATTGTGTGACCCCCTATTTCATGTTCTTCATTAATTTTGCGGCTCAATTATTGATTAATCACTTTTATCGGCCTATTCGATAAACTGGCAAACGCGAAAAAAATGCAGAGACAAAGAAAATGGTTTGTGGGCAGGAGAATAAGCAGCAGTAGAGATTGACAGACAATCTTTTGCTTTTAACGGTTTCTTTCATGAATATTAATTTCGAAGCTGTGGCCCGTGAAATAAATACAAGTGAACAACATTCAATTGGGCAACCTACTTGGAATGGTTGCGCCCGGAATACAGTGGGTCCAAGCATTTTTTGGAGCCGTGGATCCCTGAAATCAGAGCAAATGATCAGCTTTCCAGGTAATAAAAATCAGTCGTTAAAAGGAATAATTCGATTTGAACCAAATGAATTGCATTATTTACCTAACCAAGTCAGTGATTTTATTTTACACAATTCACTTCGCATAATTCGGCCTTCAATTGGTCGATATTTCTAAGACCATGGCCCGTTAGTAATTGGGTGGTGAGTGTGATAAGGCTAGTGGTAGTCAATGCTAGAGTCGTGAAGGGGGTAATANATAGTTGTGAACTGAAGCGAGAGAGCGGGGACAAAGTTAAGTGAAATTCACTAGAAACTATGTCATGCGTTGCATGTGAGATTTTTGGGAAGGGGTAGTTGGGGACAAAAAATAGTTGAGTCTTAAGACTGTGGTAGATGATACTCGGTAGGGGTAGGAGAGAATTGATGCTCTGCTTTATGTACAATCAATCAGCCAGGGTAACAACAATGTGTGAACGAGCTTCTTTTGCTTGTATAGTGCAGGATTGAAAATGCTAATTGCAATCGCCTCAGCCACGATTAAAAGGCGCCTTCTTATTTCTTTGACATATTTCCGGGATATAGTATGAATTATTTTGAATGCACCCAATTTGTTCACAACATGCTAGATGATCGAGAACTGAGCTGCGAATACACCGAACCATTTCTTTGACAGCGCTTTTCTTGACAGCGCTCAGTAATACGTTTTGATCATCAACTGATCAGGTGTCCAATATATCGCACACCACAAATGCACGTAACTTCACCCAGCTCTCTCTCGCCTTAGCTCAAAGCTTTCATCGACTTCTTAATCACCCTATTTTTCTACCGCCGATTCATTTGAACTTTATCATTTCACCTCCTCCAAGACTCTAGCTAGCCTTGTCACATTCGCTTACTCGCCTCTATTACCGTTTATAAACTGAGCTGCAATCAGCCAAACAGATATCTGTTCTATGGTCGTCTTATATATATATGCCACTGCCTAATGCGATAGACAGAAGAGAAATTTCTTCGCGAACACCGTTTTATACATTGCCTATGGGAGTATTTAACTACTGCATAGTGGTGGCCGAGTGGTAAATGCGCTTTAGGTCATGTGTTCGAATCCCATCACCACCAACAACGGACTTTCTACATTCTTTGATTGGTCGCTTCCCTCTCCTTGATAATTGTCACTGGATTTTTAGTCTATATAAAGTGCATAGATACCAACAAACCCTATTTTCAGAATCCAGACCCATTCTTATTTGGAAAATGCGTATAATAAAAACCTGTGCTTCTATGAAATCACATTGGAGCTGCGCAGTTCAGGTTTGCTCACAAGTTACCTTCCCGGAAAATCAGTCAGTGACAGGCCCAATAGCAACAAACGAAGACAAAGAGGAAGAAAATAGGCTCTTTGCTAACTTCATTCGAAAGTCTTACAACAAATCAGGTCTTCTCCACAGGCTGGGCTACGTGTTCCACATTAAAACATTGAGGCTTGATTCACCATTTTCATTGCAAGTTGCCATAATCTATGGTTTCAGGCTCATCTTACGCATGATCTTCGAGCATTCACTATCTTTATGAAATCTATGATTTCCTTAGATGTTGGAAATTCAGTATCGCATGGACTATTGTCCCAAAATGTATGGTTTGTATGATGTCAGACGACCGAGCACTGGACTGAGATAAAGCCCGTAAACCGAAGAGCGCACTTTATTGTCTAGCAGAAACATTATTCATAGGTAGTGTGATTTGGGGACCGAAAATCCATGGCGTTTGGGACGAACTTGCATTCCCGTTCACCCGACATCCTCGTGACTAAGGACACTGTTCACGGAAGACATATTGTCCAGTCCAAATCAACTCAAACTCGTTAACAGGAATAATTCACCGATTTCCTCGTGCCGCTCAAGGAAGGATTGAACCATTTATTTCCCATGAACGACCGAACACTTCATTCTGGAGAAGTCTGTTTCGGAACCAATCGATTGGCTCTGAAGGGTGCTCAATGTCAGAAATTTCGGTTCTGAAGCCCACATTTTATGAGACCATGGATCTTGAGGTATCAGCCCCATTATCAAAAGCAGAAACGACATGCAATGAAACATAAGTTGGGTCAAGTCTATTGTCTACCCATCCTTGTGAGCAGATCCCAGAACTTGAAGAAACGAATATTATTCAAGGAAAGCAGTTTGTATTTCTTCATCCTAGTTAAAAACCTACCTTTCCTCTGGTGCGGGAATTTTACCGATGTCCGCTTCACCAACATCATACTCCTCGCGGATAAAACGATCCGCAGCCAAATCCTGTTCATCACCAAATGCGCTCACACTGTTTAAATGGATTCGAAACGATAACGGATAAATTAAACAAGAATAGAGGTTGTTAACGAGCAAGAAACTCTATTGATTGATTTATGATGAAAGGTTACAGAAGATATCGCACTGATTTGATTTTAAAGAGTTTCTTGACTGAACTCAAACGCCACATTATGGTTAAACAGAGATCTATTAAAATGTGAATTACATATACTCATGCAAGATAATTTGCACTGGGATCGATAGGGTAATTGTGGGCAAGTTATTCATTGACTGGTCAGTTTACAGCAGCTTGCAAATAGGTGATGTGCACCAGTATCACCACCACCACTGCTAGTACTACTACTACTACTACTACTACTACTACTACTACTGATAATAATAATAATAACGATTTCACGTGGTTTGTGTCTTGCTGGTAGCTGTAGGTTGAGAGCAAACATGCACGGGATAGAGCGCTTATCACTCAGAATTTGATCTAGATTCATTGACCGCGCATGAATGAATCACACGCAGCGAACACCGGACAAATGATCAATCCGCAAATAATTGGGCAATGATTCAGCGTCTGATTAAGTGCATGCAGTGGAAAAGTAGAGCTTAGAAAGGTGATTGATTTGGGTTCACTGTGACGATCATAGCACTTGAGGACTTATGTATATCACCTGACCATTGGAGTCTTGGTGGTCAATTGTACATGAGCAGGATCATGGATGGAAAGTTGTTTGCTTAAGATGTCCGAAGTCGTGCAAGGATTCATGATTGATGATTTGCCTAATCTTATTATTATACATCTTCATTAGCGGGAAAAATATTATACCTAACAAGCATACATACTTTTAGATGACACCCTTCTACATGAGGATAGGTAGGTAGACTTTATATGAATATGCGACGAAGTGGATGCACTCACACACACACACACACACACACACACACACACACCGGGCATAGACCTGTACCAGTGAAGTAACAAGACCCAATCGCATGTGTCGAAACGCTGTCTACGGACATTTGTGGAATTCCAACTTCGAGTGAATGAGAGAGAGAGAGATTGCTGGCCAGGCAATACGTTGCCAGGAACGGCAAGCATGGGTGCCTTATTTTACATGAGTGCTTATTCAACACAGAGAATTACACAACAATTCACGATCAACCAACTAAGAGATCATTTGCCAGTCAGGATTATGGGGAGACTTGCTCGATAGCATACAGCTCCACCAACCACAACAGCCTACGCATTCGGCAGCAATCCACAATTTGTTTAGTGAATTTCTATTTAGAAGCAGTAAAAATGTCCAAGCATCAATCTGAAGAAAACTGGTTGACACTTTGATAGGACTTTGTAACTTCTGGATTTTGTTTCGGTTTTCCCACGTTCGTGGATAGTGGAGTGAAACGGCATTGACATTGTACATTTTGGTCAAAGAACAATAATATTGCTTATGGTATGAGTGAATCCAATAAATGAAGCACAATTGTACTTCCGAGACCATTAGATACCATCCGGTAAAGAGCAACTGGGGTGATGTGTAGTTCACAATCCTCCATCGAGAGAACTTACCCGGCTTCCATGTCCACCATATCACTTTCGTCTTCCCTCATATAATCTTCAAATCCATACTCCATTGGAGTGATGGGATTTGCCAAGCCGGAATCCCAAACCCCAGCATTCGCACTATCCGGAGATTGGTAGTGTAATTCGAAGGTTAAAACCATCTGGGAAAGAAGAAAAACGAAATGTGTGTGACGTTCGATCCGGTTCTCAATGAAATATAAAACCAACTGATCATTGATAGCATTCAGAATATTGTTGTTGTTATGACCAACAGAAATGACTCATCTCTGTAAACCTGAACGAACAATTATATGCATGATCTCAATGCAATCACTATTTGATAGGAGGATTGCCCTAAATATTTAATTACACAGAATCATTTCTAATAACCTTTATCTCGCGTCACTGTGTAAGAACAGAAACACACGGTTTTTCCCCACATCACGGATTCCTGATTCATTTCCTAATGTTATTCTTTGAGAAAGCTTAAATGAGGCTAATATAGGAAACGAAATTGACATCAAGTTTACATTAGCTTTATACCGTGTGTTTTACCGATCATTCTGATTACCTCACAACGATACAGTCGGTAACTCGTTTTACGCAGTGGAGAAAAGACGAGTCACTGGAACAACAGAAATCATGTTCATCCTCATCCTCCTCCTTGTTCAACTGAGGTGGGGGAACTGGAAGATGAATTATTTCCTGAAAATTTATCCAAAGTGTGAGTGAATGTAATCCTTTATGGTGTTTTAGAGACTCGTAACTTGTCATTTATCACCCATAGTACAGTTCTGAAATAGTTTATGTGGTTGAACTAAAACCAGATGTACATCAACGGTCAGACTGAGGACAACTCACACTCGTGGCTCGATTCGATCCATCCACAAGGTTCTCACGAAGCTGCATTACCGGTTCCCGGGTCAGCGAGTACAGATTGACCTTCACCGTACCTAACAAACTTTTAAAACGAATAAAGACGCGGCCGGGATGAGAAAGGTAAGTCGTTCGAACGGAAACACGTCACGTGATTCAGCAAGGTAATGAAAATAAAATGCGGAGGCTGCAACAAAGTGAAAGTTTGAGAAATATGTTACGTTGCTTTTCTTGGTCGGAATTCAAATTGAACTTAATGCTTCATACATATGACACCTAATCTAAAATTTTAACTAATGTATACAATCCCTGAGATCATTTGTTCATGGGTTGCTGTTCAGTCCCATGGTATGTTATGAAAAGCTGATCCAGCTTTGGCTACTACTAATATTACAATTATTATTATTATTATTATTATTATTATTATTATTATTACTAAATGCGGTTGCGTGACCCGAACAAATGCTCCCGTTAACCTCAAACGACAATACTTCAGGCCCGAGGTCTCTCAGACCCGGGGAAAAAAATTAATTGTTTCAAATAGCTATTTCCTCATTGAAGCAAGTCTCACTAGTCAGTTGTTACTTCGAAATAATGTAAACTATCCGAAATCTCATCGGAAAAAGTAAATAAACAGCGTCCGTTTGAGTGTTCCTAGTTAATCAACAGGCCAAAAATGTGAAATGGCTCTTGAAATCTATAATATTTAAAGGATTCCTAGCAGCGACAAATCCACTTTTGGCAGAAATCTTTCCTTTTCTTTACTCCTTTGAAGTTATATTGATCAATAAAATGAGACCGAATTATATGTAATGACCGACAAAAAACACTGAATAGGTGTTTCGTCCTGTTTTTGACTCGTTAGCAGTGCGCACTTTTTATGCCTCTGTCGGGATTCAATCACTAATCTTCTGGTTGAGAGTTCAGACCCTTACCCCCTTAGTTACTGGGTCGACGGGGGATCATCTTTTGCTCAGTCGATCTTATCTATCACTTTTTGGATTAGCGCGTTCGATTGTTCAGAGGCACTAGACACCCAATGTTATCAAGAGTGAATGTTGTCTCCGAACAATGGAATAGGCGATTCAAAAATGTGATACTCTGGATTACATTGAACAGCTCTACAATGCTTCCGAGTTCTTCAATGTCAAGCTTCCTTCGCTCATTATTAGACGGTATTCATCACGAATGCTTGTAAGTCCGCGTGTCCAAATCAAACAGCTCATTCACGTGGAATGCAAACAGACCTTACAAAGTTTTCCTTTCTTACCTGCTGGGTAGGCGTTTCCGTACGGTGTAAGCTTGCAAAACAAGGGTGTCTTTGTCGTCTAAAGGTCGACTGACGGGCCATTGAAAATCCTGTCCGAAGTAGACACTGTCACGACCAGCGGCTAGCTTAGTGCGTTGTTTCGATTCTGCCGTTTAGAAAAAGAACGAGAGGAAAGCAATGACCATCGATCGTGAGCCGATCGAAATTATAACATACTTCATCGACTACTTTTGAGTAGTGAAAACCAAAATTCGGATATAACTTGCATATTTCTGAATGTGAAACCAAACGGCTGAACTAAGTGAAAGAGCCTGCCGAAGCTACCAAGCCTATCAGAGAAACAGAGGATCCGCCGCCAAGTTTGCATATAGCCTTGTATCACGTGATTCATAGAACGCAATCAGAGAACGCTTAAAGAACTGATGGTTTGATTGACTGACTCTCTTCAACTTCACGTTCCTTACTGACAGTAAAAATAACTTTCACTCCATTGGAAAACGTGTTACACGTTTGGTGAACGCAAACAGTTGTTCGTTGAAATCCCAGTGACATTTCGATTACGAGTGCCAAAATAATTTGATACGGTCGCTCATTTTCGATAGTATTCGTATCAAATGACTCGCTCATGGTGTGAATGGGATGAATAGAACTTGGGGTTCTATCAAGCTTGTACACAAAAATTGCACATCGTCTGGGGATAACTCACAACTCTCGGAATGATCCGACCTTAACAAGCACTACTAGCTCTATGCGCTAAATATTCTGTGATCATATTGTTTTTGTGATTAGTTTTAATCTATTGTTACCTGTGCAATTGAATTATTTCTATTGAGCGAATCCATTCGCATTTTGGACATAGAATCCAAATGAGATGACCACAATTAGTGATTAATACCAGATCACCAAATGGAAGGTATAGACTGAATTGCTCTGAGTCAAAAGACGGGAAAAATCGTCTAGGATGTGAGTAGACAACGATAACTACACTTTTAATGAAAACATTCTAATTTAAAGGAAATACTGATCGTTTCCATATCAATCTTGAAATTATCTGCTCGGATAAGCTGACATAGCCTACATGTAAACACGCTGCTTGTAGACTTAAAAGTCTTCGGGGAAAGTATTGAAAAAGAGCACCGTTATTGGTCTTTTGGGCTCTGTTTGAAAGTGCATTTCTTAAGTTTATTCATGCCAAACTCTAGGAAACCAAGAAAGATTGTACAGGTTGAAAAAGCTTCAAAATATCAGTTTCCTCCGTTGATGATAGTCTGAGCCGTCCGATTTAAAGTGCCAAACAAATTATGCTACATAGTCCCGTTCCAAGGCATTGACGAGCTCAATACTATTGTCTAAGCTGATTATGGAAAAAACCTTTTTTGACAAAATGCAAATCAATGTAATGTTGATCGATGACGTCAATTGGAGTCGAACTTCTCTCGGTTACTATTGATTCATCACATCAATGATTTCTGCTAATTGATTGTTGCATTTGTTTGGTCGTCCAATCAAGCGTTCGCTTAATTTAACCCAAAAGTGAGTATTCAGCTGAAACCACTGAAATCAAGCATTACAACAATAAATTGAGCAGGAACTAAGATTACCGGAGATTGAGTAACAATTTATTCTTCTACTTTACACGGAGTTATTTGGTTGATGGTATCACAGTAACCGAACAGGACAAATTGCAGTGACGGATTTCTATGCAATTTAGAGCTTGAACCTAGAACACATTCGAAAAAATCGGTGAGTAAAACATGAGGGTCGTAAGATCAAATATTCCTAAAAAACGTTTTGCATGACTGAAGATTTTAGAAAGACACCGATTCGATAAGCTACATGCGAAGTAAGCCATGATACAGTGATAATAATGCAAAGTATCCACTTATCAGTTCGAAGTCATCGATAAGCAAATCAGGGAAATGTACCGAAGATGAGTTTAACATGTCAGCATAATGCAGACATACGCAGATGATGTTATTGAAAGGAAGTGCATGAACACCGATTTAAACAAAAGCGTATACCGGGAAACGGTTCTCAAATGACTGAAAAGAAATTGTCAGATTGGGATAGAGCCAGATCTTGATTTGAAATAATAACTAGCCACTAAGTGCATACCTATCAAATTAAAAGCTCANTATGCGGAGATTCACTGGAAAAATCGAAAGAACATATCTCGAGCTGTTCCTTGGAATTTATATCGTATTGATCCTGTTAGGAATATGACAGGGCTATGAGCAACTAAAAACATATCAGGTGACAACGCGGATTTTAGTTCATTATCATATTTAACTTAATGAATAGTATTTCCAAAACAATTTCTAGCATCTCAAGAGAACCTGATTCCACGCTCTCAAACACACAAAGAAATAGAAAAGTCTCAGTCATTCAGACCTGATGAGTGGGCTGGCGTGCACGACTGAGTTCCCAAGTCGTTCGTGTGAGGTTCATTCAAGGCCGAGGCATATTTGCATCTAATAATCTGTGTAGCCGAACGTAATACACGTTCAAGGACACGGAAGTGCAAAAGACAGCATCACCAAATAGATTAAACCCAGATTGCGTTTTCACAGTGGTGGTTTGGAGGATGCGGTGGTCGGATTCTGACCCCAAAGCATCACGTGCTATTTGTGTGGTGTAAACATAGGTCACGTGAATTTACTACTATGTCTAGTCCAAAGTGAACCACACGGAAACCCAAGTACTGTCGCCATCAATCCTGGAAACCGTTAAATAGGGTTTCACAACCGATTCCTGAACTCACGCATGGCGGAGGAAAAAGACA